TACTCTCACACACACACACACACACACACACACACTTTTCTGTTATTGAGTTACATGCCTCAGTTATTTTTGGAATAGATTGGATATAAACAGAGGAAAAAAAACATGAATATTTTGTTTCTAGAACATGGTTTCTCGACCCCGGTACTAATATTACTTGGACCACTGGAGAATTCTTTGTTGTGGGGGACCATCGTATGCATTCTAGGGTGTTTAGCTGCACGTTGGCCTTTCTCCACTAGATGCCAGTAGTGTGTTCCTAAACTGTAACAACCCAAAATATCTTTAAACGTTTTCAAATGTCCTTAGTGGGGACAAAATCACCCCAGGTTGAGAATCACTGATTTCAAGATTGAGTCCCGGTGTTTGGCTAGAAAAACAACAAACCCTGCAAATGACCAAATGCGTTTAACATTATCAGTCCATATCTTTTGTTTTTTAACAGCAGCTTCTCCCTTAAAGCCGATAAAGCTTTCATTTTTCTTCCATGGAAAATTTTGCTTGTGTGCTGAAGCAGTCAAAATAGAAGAATATTACCAAACAATTCTGAAACAGCCATTCTGGTTTTTGTGAACAGAAATCATAGAGATTTAAACTGTCTTATACAGGGTGTATTTTTATAGCTGTATTTCATAACTGTGTCTATCTCTTTGTAACATACATGCAACCAAGTCAGAGCTTTCTAAACAACGAGAATTTTCTACACATTAAGTGGCAAGGATGATTTCAGGATTTCAGAAGCAAAGAAATAAACCCTGTCAATGGTAGACCAAATGCAGCCTCTTGGTGGCACTGTTTAGTTTTTTAAAAAAAGGATACTTGATCTTCACAAGACACAGCAGTAGGTGCTTATGCTTTTCAGAATATGTAGTTTAAGTTCAGTGAAATAAACCATTTTCAAGAGGATGCAGTTTCCATGTGAAGATTGTTGTACTGTCACTCTAACAAGCCGTGATGGCTGTATCCCCACAATTTGTTGTATTTCATGTTGGCGCTAAGGTAAGCTTTGTAGGCTGGCGACAGGGTGTCATTACCCAAACAAAAAGACACAGGTACAGTATGTCATCCCTGCTAATGACCACAACATTTTCTTGCCCAGTAATCTGTAACAAAAAGCCACATAAACGATCAGGCTGCATTTAAGTGCAGCACTAAGGAAAAACTTGGTGGCACAAAAATTATTCCAGCCAATTGTGTGGAAACGACAGAGAATAATACAAAGTTATCTCTGCTAGGGAGATGTGTGTTTGGAATGTCACCAACGGACAGTGCGTGGAGAAGGCCACACTTCCCTACAGGCACACTGCAATCTGTGTAAGTACATTCACTTCCTTCCCAACAGTCCTGGCTCCTACCGCTCCTTCGTTCACCGCTGTAAACCCATGTGAAGAAATGTCTTTGGCGGATATTCTTTTCCTGAATTTTTTATTTTGTCGTTAAAGGAGAATATTGTCTGTTTTCATCTGTTATTTTGACTTTTTTCTTCCCAAAAGTTATTATTCAGCCATTTTTTCCTGATTCATTTTTTATTTCTGTGTCTTTCAACATAAATTTGAGGGACAATTTCCTCATTTTTCCTTAGGTACACTCACAAAACACAAACAGACACAAACACACAGAGAGATTCTGTTTTAATTCTGATATGCTGTTTTATAAAAAAATTTTTTTTTGTTTTCTTTTGTTTTTTATTATTTATTTATTACCAATTTTAATCTTTTTTGGGAGGATAGGTTCTTAATTTCTTAATTATGAAAAGAGAGCTAGAGGCTTAGCCATAACCTTTATAATTACTTTCCAATATTTAAAACCGATTTTGGCTTTTGATAGCTAGACACCACGCATATATGTAAGGTGAGTTGCATGGTTCCAATGGTGCTGACAGCGTTTTTCACATTTCACCCATTGCTTTTAGCATTGATGACCTGCATTGCAACATGCACAGACTCCTTTCTGGTGGGATCAAAATTTGCTCAGTGAGAGCTCATCAAGAGTAGAATATATTACTAGATCTTCAATAAAAGCTATTCTCACAATTTATTTGGCACAAGATTGCTTCAAATGCTCTTCAAACACTTTTATTTCTTCTTAGCATGTAGCAGTGTTGCTAGGATAAGGAACCTGGTTTTTGTTGTTGTTTAGTTCTACACAGCACTCCAGAAATAGTATGCTTTTAAGCTTTCCATGGTTTGGAATAAGAATCCTTCACAAAAGATCCACTTTTCTAGAAAAATGGTGACATAGAAATAAGACTAAAGTTCAAAATCAGCACTTTAGAAGTATAGAATAACTGAACTCAGAGACATTTTAGTTGCTCTTCATCATAATACCTCAATTGAATAAATGATAAAATAAAAATCCAGGGAAGCGTCCACCACAGACAAAGTCATGTTAGTTGCGAGTGATAATGAAACTTTGCTTGAATTCCGTTTGCATAGTATTACCACTGCTCATTCCGGATGACAGGAGAAGGCTGGCTTCTATGCTGTGGAGAATATCAAGACATTCTTATAGTTGATGCCAAAACTTTGACGCTTGTTCACACTTTTACATCGTCTCAGTCTCCTGATTGGATCAACTGCATGTGCATTGTTCACTCCATGAGAATTCAAGGTAATAGTTGGGTATTATATAAGACTAAGATTGCATGTTATAAAATATCATTGTTGAACCATTTGTTAAATTATTGGGCAAGAGTTTAGAACGATTCTTTATGTTTGCCTGTTTAGTGGGGACAGTTCCCTAAGCCAGATCAAGAAAAACTGAGAACACCCTGGGCAGTGGTTCAAGTCATTGGAAACTGAGCGAGAGATTAAGATGGAGTGGAAAGAGAGGAATCTGTCTTTCCACCACCCTGTTTTGCTTGGTACATCTTAACAGTGACAAGCGGGAGTTTGTTCAAAGTTAGCAGGACCCTTGGAAGTTTTGTCCTTCTGTATCTTCTAGACCAGAGGTCGGCAAACTGCGGCTGGCAAGCCACATGCAGCTCTTTAGGTATGTACATGTGGCTCTGAAGTAAAATTGAAAATGAAAATAAAACTATCATAGTTTTATTTATAAAAAATTTTAAAGGATATTATTCACATAATGGTGATTTCATTTGTTTTATGGTTCTCAAATATTTTTTAAATTGTTGTGAGGGGCAGGATTGGCTCTTCCATCTCAAAAGTTTGCCGACCCCTGTTCTAGATGGAGTCATGAATTATATAATAGTTTCTGTAATGAGTGTCTACACAGGAAAAGGAAGCCTGGCTCCTTACTGATTTCTGAACTAGGAAGGTGTCATATTGCCAAAATGATGGTTTGAATGTGGTTCTGCCTTTCGTGGTGCTCTCCTTTTCCATGGGGATCACTCTGAAATTTTAAAACAAATTTAAAATGTGATCTGAAATCTTCATTTTAAAAAAAAACCAACAATGCAGACTATTTTCCACCTACCTAGCCCTGCATAATCCTTAAATGACTATGAAATGATCTTCACAACAACCAGTTATAGCAGTGGCCAGCTGATATGCAACCTTTGTTTTTACAGAAGATTCTCTCTTGGTCGTATCAGTAGCTGGTGAACTCAAAGTATGGGATCTCTCTTCATCTATCAGCAGCATTCAGGTTGGTTTGTAAAACTTTTTTCTCTAGTTTCAAGAATATGTATTGATTTTTTTTTAAATTACAAAGATGTTACATGCTATTGTTAGAAGTTAAAATAACATAGACGGGTATAAATTTTACCTCCCCCATCCCTCTTCCTGCTTCCAATGCCAGAGGTAGGCATTGGTAACAGTTAGAGTGTGTGCTTGCATCCTTTTCTCCATGTCTATACAAATGTTTTTACCTATACATGCACCTACACACTAAGTACATTTTTCATTGAAAATGAAAGTCATGGAAGAATATCTTTCTGTCCCTTGCAGTAGAAGACCCCCTTTCTTCTGGGTGTGAGTGGTGGCAGGGAGATGATGTGAACAACTAGGGGTCACGTACACTGGAAGTCCAGTGCATTCATTCATCATTCACCTGCCCCCTGGCTTCAGGCTACAAGTGGAGGGGATGGGCAAGAGAACAGTCATAGTACTTGTTTTAGTGACAAAATTGTTCTGATTGCCCCATAGAGCCCTGGGCTGTCTTTAGGGATGTCTTGGTTGAAGAAGCCTAGGAGTTTATTGGCATACTGAGCCCAAGAAACGCACACGCAGCATTTTCAAAAACTGATTGAGAATATAGCATTCTATATATTCTATGCTGGTCACTCTTCTATCTTTTCAAAACACTTTGTGTGTTTTTCTATTGTAGTGATTAAGATACTGCAGGGTTTTTAAAAAATTATTTTCTTTCTTTTTTGGGGGGCGGGGGGGGTGGAGGGTGGTTATTTCTGCCATGTCTGAAAGTCAGTAACTTATTCTTATCTTTACATTCTCAGCATCCGGGTTCATCCCCCACAGGATGTTTGTTGAATGATTGCATGTAATGAGTCCTTGAATCCATGTGGGTTGCCTGTTTATGCTTTCTTTTACAAGCTAACTTTTTAGTTCAGAAAGCTTAAAAGGAAACTGGGGTACTTTTTGTGTTATAATAATGGTGTGCTCTATTTCAGGAGTTTAGGAGAGCCAATCTTCTGATACAGTCACATATAAATTACCTAGAACTAGTACTAAAATGTTTTCATTCCTTTTGAAGGAAAAGCAAGATATCTATGAAAAGGAATCCAAATTTCTCGACTCGCTGAACTGCCGGACAATACGATTTTGCACATATACAGAGAGGCTTCTATTGGTGGTATTTTCTAAATGTTGGAAGGTATTATAAAATAACATATAATAAATACCAGTGATATACAAATATACTTTTTTCTTGTTCAGTGCAACAATTATAAGAATATGGTTTAAACGTGATACAAAGTCTTTATAACATTATTACCAGAGTATGGACGTCCTTCTCTTAATGAATGACTTTTATTAGTTTTACACTCCTCAGCTATTTTGCTTCTCAGGATATTATATAAGTAGTATATATTGCTGATTTTATTAGTAACAAGCCATAGTAATAATGAGCCTTTATCTCTAGATTATTTTCAAAAGTTAGTGCTTCCCCTTTAGAATTAAAAAGAAAACTAATAATTTTCACCTACCCAAACTGATCTTATTTATAGATTTTTTTTTCTTTGTCTATTCTGTTACTACATTTGTTTTTAGGGAATATACATACCTTTCTTATAAATCTATTCATTGATGTCTCCAAGAAAAAACAAAACAAAACTAAGTTATCATTACTTAATAGCATATTTTTTCCTTTAATGTTTGATATACCTGGCTTAGTTAACAACACAATATTGTCTTACTTATACGCTGATATAGTTTTAGTGAAAATGCAAAGTGTATGGTCTAACAAAGGATTTCTTCTGTATAAACATTTTTTGTGTAATACATTTTGCAAATGTTAAAATTGGACGATCTATATGGAAATAATAAAATTATATAGAGATTTGGGGATTTTTTTGGTCTCTGTGCTTAATGGACACATTTTGAAATGAGATAGCCAAATAAAGTTTATCCACTGAAACCTACCATAGGATAAATACGAAAAAATAAGTACTAGTAAGATACCTTGATACATGAGTATAGTGTGGCCTATCATTAATACTTAATATGCTGTTGCATTAATGCTGTCATCTCAATAGTCTTGATAAGCACAATTTATCTTTCATCTCATTGGCAGATTAGATTGGAAGCTTTGGTTAATGTGTGCTATTCATTTTGTGTTGTAGGTTTATGATTACTGTGATTTTTCCCTTCTGTGCACTGAAGTCACTAAAAGTGGGCAGTTCTTTGCTGGTGGAGAGGTGCTTGCTGCTCACAGAATCATCATCTGGACAGAAGATGGTCACAGTTACATCTATCAGCTGCTGAACAGGTGGGCTCAGATGGGAGCGGCATACAAAACATTCAGGTTGGAAATGAACTTTGGGAGGTTTATTATGGAAAAATCCTCGCATGCTGCCCATGATCAAAAACCAGAACAAAACAACTTTGGCACTAGAAGATTTACTCAGGGCTTGGTAGGCTTCAGCCTTTGTATAAAACAGCAGGGGATGAAGGAATGAGATTAACCATGTATAACTTGTACAGCTGGTGCTGGGTTTTCAAAAAGTCACTTGTAATTATTAACCCAACAATTTCTAACTAGAATTTAGAAAGTTGAATGGTACCATCCGGCTTTTGAAAGTGGGAGGGGAAAAGAAAACGAATAAAGGAGCCCAAAGTTGTAAACTTTGCTTTTTATTTTTTGCCACGCAGTGGGCTTTCAAAAAGCATATACCCTGCTGATGGAAGAGTGCTTAAAGAGACCATTTATCCTCATTTACTGTGCTCTACTTCTGTGCAGGAAAATAAGGTAATGCAAGAAAAGAGGGGCTACCTCAAAGCCGTTTCACTCCGTTTCTTAGATAAGTGTTGCTTTGTCTGTAACCAAGTCCGGGTTGAAAAACTGAAGAATCACATCAAGTTGTTAACAAGAAAATCAAAGCTAAGTGTTAATGGCTACTGAAGAGAAAACTTTGCCTTTAAAAAATCTATTTTTTGAAGCCTGATTAAACAATACATATTTACTATAGAAAATTATAAATGTTTAAAAAACAAAGAAATTAAAATTCCAATTTCACTAGCATAAATATCTATTGTAAATATTTCTTATTTTATGTATTGACTTATTTTAATTGAAAATTTTTCAAATATTTGAAAAGTTTCAAATTAGTACAATCACCATTCATATACCCTTTACCTAGATTCATCAATTGTCAACATTTTGCCATATTCTTTCTCTCTCTCTCTCTCTTTCTCTGTCTCTCTACACACACACACATACACATTTTAAGAAACGAAAAAGCTGTATTAAAATTGTAATAATATATACCTATAACAAAAGATGAATATATGTCATGTTTGACTTCTGCAATTACAAGAGGTGCTCAAAGTGGTTACCATCAGCATAATTTTAATACAGCTTTTTCCTTCCTTAAAATGTGTATACATTTTTTCGCACCCTCTGTATACTCTCACACACACACACACACACACACACACACACATTTTTCACTGACCCTTTTAATAGATGGCTTAATACATTATTAACATTTTGATGTGTCTTATTTTTAAACTCTATCAAATTATTTACATCCTGTTTTATTTTTTAGTTAACTATATATTGAGATTATTGTCACGTGTATTTAGCTCTTCTTCTGAATAAATTTTCTTGTTAAAACAAGCATAATTATGATTCCTGGTAGAGAACTGAAGATATAATTATGAGCTTTTACTTGACTGAATTATATCTTTGACACTCTATGAAGCCTGGAAATTTAAGCAGTTATTTTATTATAGTAGTATTAACCAAACTGTTTTCTTTTAACCTATTGGACTTAGTCAACAGTTAATTATCCAAAAATATATTTCATGGAAACTGGAGGAGTTTTGAGTTATTGCGATGTCAACCATGGAAGCATGTTACTTTTTACAGAGTGATGGTTTGCTTAATTAGACATCAGGGCTGTTGAAAATCCTATAGTTCAGCGACACTTCCTTTAACATATCTGTGAGGTTTTGTTGCAAAAACTTGATTAAGAAACTGTCAGCCAAAAATTAGAACTTCAGGTACCACTGGGGCAAACTTTAGAATTACGGCATCCAGCAGTATTTCCAAAGTCATTTGTTGGCTGCGATAGAGCTTTGTGTTGCTGTTGATCACAAAAGCAGTATTGTGGCTTACTCAGAAAGGCATTTTTAGTTACTTTAAAAAGACCTGCCCTTTCTTCCATTTTAGCTCCAGAGCGCATTTTTATAAAGCACAAATTTCCCTAAACGCTAAATAGGAACTTCTAGTCTACCGCAAATATCAATACAATACATAACTATGAGGAAAAAGTATAGCAGTTAAAAATTAACTTAAAAAATACTAGTCATGAAATGCCATCTTACATTGTTTCACAAAATGTGAAGATAAAGATTTAGGGACTTCTGTCAATAATTATTATTGAGACAACCACAGTTGTGTTTGTATTTTAAAAGAGGGAAGTGCTTGGAAGCCAGTGAAATATGAATAGAATCGTCTGAATCTGAAAGAAGGTGATGGACCCATCCACAGACCCCCCGCGTGCCCTTTATCCAGCCAAGAATTAAAGTCAGACATTATTCTTTGTATTCAAAACATCACCCATATTCACTAAATATAAGACTTCTTAGTCACTCTTGTATTTAAAAGGTAATGAAGGCATTTCAGTGGGGTGGGGAGATGAATTTGATAGACATAATGAGCTTAGAAAAGGGTGCTGTGTAAACATGTAGTATTGACTGGACTGTTTTTGTTTTTTGGGTTTTATTTTTTTTGTTTTTTGGAGCAATACCATAGAATTAAATCAAGGTTGGAGAGTCACATGTTCTCAGAGTTACTATTTGTGATGCAGGGAACATAGCTGCTGATGGAGTTGTATAGTAGTAGCAAGAATAGAGATTCTCCCTTCTTTCTAGTAGCTTTATGAGAGTCTCCCTAGTGTCAAATCACAGCTGATGATCACTGAGCCCCGTGGCAGGGCACCTGGCTATTAAGATGAGGAGCTGGGCTTCCCAGGGTCTTAGCTGAGGAGTAAGACTGCAGCGCTGAGGTGAGAGTAGCTGAGATAGAAAGAACCTGAGGATTGCAGTTAAGAAATTTGGGAGCATGAATTAAGAGTAATGACAATGGTGATAATGATAGGTGACTAATTTTGAGTCCCTACTATTGTCAAACGTACACACTGTCCCATTTACATCAGTCCCCACCATGATCTCATTTTAAAACTGATGTTCAGAGAGGTTAATTCCCAGAACTTGAACCCAGGCAGTTTGGCCCCAGAGTCTGGTAATGAGTCTTTGGAGTGAGTTTCTCAATTATTCTGAAGGTGAACAATAAGAATGGTTAATAATTATTGAGTATGTTCCAAATGCCTGGAACCATTCTAAGTGCCTTCCCTTTATCAACTCATTAATCCTGACAGTAACCCCACACAGTAGGTGCTTTTATTAGCCTTCTTGCACAGTTAGAGAACATGAGACATAAAAGTTAAGTAAATTATCTAAATCGAGTATTTAGCTCTTTTAATAGAGTTCATATGTGCTAAAACCAGGATTTGAATCCAGGCAGTTGGCCCAAGAGAAATCACTCGTAATGACTATTATATTACCTTTCGGAGGATGGAAACTCCTTGTGATGGGTACTGGGTCCTGTGATGAAAATCAGAATTCACATATGGGGCTGTGAGTAGGTTTTCAGGTGACTGTCCGAAGTAGAGTGGGAAGGAGAACTGAGGTGTCAAGGAGTGGGTGTGAGCAAGTGAGGAATGGCAGTGAGAAGCTGTGGGCAGCAGGGATGATGGCAGCCACGGGGGCGTGGGCTGTAGGGGCAGCACGGAGCTGTGCAGGCGGGGCTGTGTGCCTACCAACTGAGTAACCCTCCAGCCTCCGGATACGGCGCTTCCTTCCCATATCAAAATCACCAGGGAGGAGGACCAGTTAATTTTAAGGTTCCTGAAGTCTGAGAGAGTTTGAAAAGCCAACTTAACCAACTTTTATCAATACCATTCCAACATATCCAAAAATGATGGCTATGAGAACTCTTAAGACCCCAAATTGCCTTCTGAACCTTAAAAAAAATAAAATAAAAATAAAACAAGATTTATTCAGAGAGCTGACTTCATTGGGACTGTTTACCCTTCTGCAATGTTCTAATTTCTTGGGACCACAGAGAATTGCATATCTTGGTTGGATGGCCTTGAATTAGTTTCGTACTCTCTTTCTGTATTAGTTTCCTTATCTCCATAACAGGAATAATAATATTTACTTACTTTGTAGCTTTGTTGTGAGAATTAAATGTAGCAGTATTTTTGCCCTTAATATTCCATGAAGATACAGAATAGAATTTTTCCACTAATATACCTAAGTCGGGACCTTCAAACACATACTTTTTGACTAGGAACTGTCATTTTTCTTAAACTTCTTTAATTCTAACACCAGCAGTTGGCTTTCTTTTCAGGGTGCCTTTTATTTGTACATCAAAAGTAGTTTTTGTTTTTCTAACCACTTAATCATTTTATTCCTTTGTGCATAATCTCTGTATACAAGTCTGTCCAAAGAACATCTGTATTGCTCTAAGGTAGTAGGGAGATTCTAATCTAGACTCATGCACTAGCGAAAGAAAGCATGTCTTTCAAAGTACTGATGCACAATAGTCATACTCTGCCTCAGCAAAATTATAACTCTCTCTATAAGTGTATAACATTTATATAAATCATAAATATGTGGTACATATTTATATTAATATTATAATATAAACATATTTTAATTTATGAATTCATTTTTGTTTTTCTTTGTGAGCACTTGGGAAATTTGGAATCAAGTATGTTAAATCTGAAAAATGGTCAATAAAAAGTGGAAAACATTTTAATAACACAAAATTACCTTACAAATATTTGTTGTTGTTATTTTAACTGATAATTGGAACTGAAATCAGGTCTTCTTAGTGGACAGTAGAGTACTGTCATCAAGATATGGGCTCTTAAGTCAGAATTACTGGATTCAAAAGCCCATTGCCATCTAAATCACCTCAGGTAAATCAAGCTCGTGACCCTCAGTTTATTCATCTGTGAAGTGAAGACAATGATAGTACCAACCTCATGGGATTGTTGTGAGGATTATTTAACTGAATACATGCAAAGTTCCTAACAGTATAGGTAATACATACACAGAACATGTTCAATAAATGTTAGATATTCTTACTAACTCCCTGAAGTCTAACTGATGACATCACTTCTCATTTTATAAAACTGTATTTTTCTTGACTAAGAGATTGTAATTACTTGAAATTTTTGGAACAGTGGAAATAAATGGAAACTTTCAATGAAGTTCATCTATGAAGTCTTGTTCATCCATTGAGAAATAGTGATTGTCATTTTATACTTAGATATTTTCCTATATAAACAATAACTTTTTGTTTGGACCAGAGCCTTCCCTTTGTCATGGGCTACATGAATGAAAGGAAAGAGCCTTTTTATAAAGTGCTTTTCTCTGGTGAAGTCTCGGGAAGAATTACTTTGTGGCACATCCCTGATGTTCCCATATCCCAGTTTGATGGTTCCCCTAGAGGTAAGACAATTTCCATCTCTAATCACATATCTTCTGAGAACTAGTTTATAATTAACTCTGTTTTTCTAAGTTGAGTAACAAGGCTACAAACAAGAAAAATTTTCTCATGTACTACTATGCATTAGATGCCAACAAAAATTGCATATAGATCTTAAACAATAATACAAAATGACATTAATTTAATGAGTGATGTTTCACTGAAATACAATGAATGCTGGCAACAATGATATAGGGTAGGCTGGTGCACCATACTTACGTCTTTCAATTTGTCGTGTCTGTATGCTGTACTCTTTCTCAGACAATTTCTCTGTTGGGGTTAGTACAGCTTCTTGGGGACAGATATAAACTCGGGCACTAAGTTTGGCAATTTGAGTGATTTAACATTCGCTTATTTTAATTTTTCTCAGAATGAAAAATCATCAAAGTAAACATTACTGTGGAAAGCTTTCAAGCTGCTCAGACTATATATTCCACATTGAGGAACCCCTGTCTTACACTGTTCACCTTATTCCAAAATCAGTGCATCATCTCTGGGAATCATTGTCTGGGTGGCTGGGTGTCTGAGCACGGCGGACACAGGGTTCTTAATACTTACACTTCTAAGCACACATTTCCATTAGTTAACATTTTTACTGTTGGTGTTTACTTTTAGTGTTTCTGTCCCAAATGTTTTCAGAATGATTCATTGAGTCCTAGATTAATAAGAAATGGGTCAAGAAATAGACTTAGAGCTTGGTAGGGTATGTGGAAAAGTTTCTTACAAGTCAACTTTAACAGGTAAAGAGTATATCATCCCCACTCCTCAGCCTACTTCATGGCGGCTCTTGGATTTCTCACGTCTGCTCTACTTCCAGCAGCAGAATGAAACGTGTAGTCAACCTTCTTTCTCATTAGAACCAGAGACATTTGGGACAACTCTTGGTGCTAGTCTAAGGTTTGGGATTGTGGTTTACACAGCCACTGTGGCACGTGTATTGCAAGGTGGAAGAGGCCCTTTCAGAGAGCAGAGGTTGGCTTCAACTTGCCTTCTTTGCTCCTGGATGCCATGCCTCCCCCACTTCCTGAACCTGCCGGAGGCCCAGTTCAAATGCTTGGGCGGTCAGCTATATAAAATTGTAACCAGTGCTCTTGGTAGCCACAGATAGTTGCCTGGGGTTATGGTATGATTTTGAGATATTCCTACACTTAACATTTAAAGAATAAATTTCTTCCATTCACCTCACACAACTAAAAGACCCTCAATTTTCCTTCTTAACATTGCTAAGGCAAGTAGAGAACTCATGAGATTGGTCCACCACTGTACATCACGGGAAGAGTAGCTCAGTTCTTTTCAGTTGCCCTATGTCTAAAATGAATGCACTAATGCACATCTATTCTTCTGAGGATACTTGGAGGACAGAGGAACAATAAAGTTGCATTTTGAGTAAAGACAGTGGATGGCAGGGGAACTTTCTGCCTATAGCCCACTATTAGTACAGCTTAGGAGCCTCCATGTACCCCAATGGATGGTGTCTTGACACTATTTTTTATATCTGTGATGACTATATAAACCAAATTTTCCCTTTTTGTGTGTTTTCCTTTCAGAGATACCAATAACTACTACCTGGACCCTTCAAGATAATTTTGATAAGCATCATATCATGTCACAAAGTATCATTGACTACTTCTATGGGTTTAAAGATGGAGCTGGAACTGTGGTGGTCACTTCATCAGAGTATGTTCCAAGTCTTGATAAGCTAGTATGTGGCTGTGAAGATGGGACAATTTTCATTACGCAGGCCCTGCATGCTGCGAAAGCAGGTCTTTTAGAAGGCGGTTCTTTGCTAAAAGGTCATTGAATTTTATTCAACCATATTTATCTAAATTTTAACTTTTAAAATCTATACTAAGAAGATTGCCAAAGCTTAAAATATTTGCTGGCATTTGTTAATAAAAAAATTGTACATGTTTTAATGATATATATATATGTGTGTGTGTGTGTGTGTGTGTGTGTGTCAGGGGTGCCAAAAAATGTATATACATAACTTGTATTCATCTTTTATTATCGGTATATATTATTACAATTTTAATAGGTTTTCTTTCTTAAAATATGTATATATTTTGGCTCCCTCTGTGTAGATAGATAGATAGATATAGATGTAGACATAGATACATGAAATATTAAGATATGTATATATACATGTTTACTGTATTTCCCCATGTATAAGACGCACCCCTTTTTTAAAAAATCTGGGGCCTAAAAACTGGGTGCATCTTATACAGTGGTTGTAGATTTTTACTTGCATTTCCCGCTTTTTTCACACTTGTTTTTGCACTCATACAACCTTGTAGATTTTTACTTGCATTTCCCGCTTTTTTCACACTTGTTTTTGCACTCATACAACCTTGTAGATTTTTACTTGCATTTCCCGCTTTTTTCACACTTGTTTTTGCACTCATACAACCTTGTAGATTTTTACTTGCATTTCCCGCTTTTTTCACACTTGTTTTTGTATTCATACAACCACTGTATAAGACACACCCAGTTTTTAGGCCCCAGATTTTTTTTAAAAGGGGTGCGTCTTATACATGGAGAAATATGGTATATATAAATATATACGTTTTTTAAAAAATCATACAGAAGGTTATACAATGAGAAATATGTTTCTCTTTTTTCTTGATCTTCCTGTTTCCTTCACCAAAAGCAACTGCTAGTAAGTTCTTTGTATCCTTCTCATATTTTTCTGTGCATATATAAGCGTATACCAACATAGCAATATACATTCTCTTATCTTGTACAAACAGAAGCATATTCTACACACATTTACTGGAATGCCCTTAAACACATCTTAATAAAATATTTTAGAGCACATTCTTTATGAGCCCATTTAAAATGGTTAATAATAATTTTAGTTTTTAAAAGTATTGTGTGTTTAAGTTTTTTCTAGTCTTTAGCTAAGACGATGCAGAATTAGCTACTTTTGCACATGTATGCGGGTATATCTATAGTATTAATTCCCAGAAGTATTAGTTCAACATTTGTGTATATTTTCAATTTTGAAAATATATCTAAAAATGTTTCCCAAAGAACATGTATCACTATACATGTGTATCCACTAACAACCTATGCAAATACATTTTCCTCCCAAACCTTAGCCAACTTTGTGTCCTATTAAACTTTTCAATATTTGTCAACCTGGAGAAAAAGGTATCTTCTGTTTTATTTATTTTCTCTTTCTTTGTTAATGAAATATAAATATGTTCTTATGATATCTTTGTGCATTGTAACCCTGAATGCCTATTAAATAGAGACCGTTGGGCAGTAAGTTGTCTTATGTAAAGGAAGGAAATATAGGAGGTGGTGGTTGAGATTTGGAGATGTGTAGATTAATTTGTATGCCATTTTTTATTGTATGGATCCTACTTGACTACAAGATCCTTAAGTAAAAAGACTAAATCTCACTTAAAAAAAAATCTTGTTACATTGTCTACTATTCTCAGCTTACTTTGGCTACTTAATAAAAGTTACTAGGGATTCAGTGATTGAAATCCCCTTACTAACCGGATTCAGTGACTAACAATGAAATGAATGGCTACTGTTAAAAGTTAGTGAAAAAAGCTTAAGACCTTAGCATTTTTTACCAAGGCTGATTCATCTTATCCAGAAAACAAGCAGAAACCTACATTTGACTTGTAGAATCCGAATTAATATTCATCTTGGTTTGCTTAGGGGATATAAAGTGAGGATATGCCTGATGGATTAAAAGTAGCTAATGATTCTTTAATAGAAGTGATAATGACTCTTTGGGACTCATTTTTAATTTGAATAAAGAGAATTTGTGGTCTGTGGTCCTTTCCAATTTTTTTTAGGTTTAGCTAATTGAAAAGCAGTGTGGAAACTGGGTGTCAGTAGCCCTGTGTTCTAGTACAGCTATGGTCAGTAAAACCTTGGATTGCGAGTAACTTGGTTTGCGAGTGTTCTGCAAAACGAGCTAACATTTCTATTGTAATACATTTTAACGTGGCAAATGAGCGATGTCTTGCAATACGAGTAGTTTGTTTCCAGAACAAATTATGCTTACAAACCAAGGTATTACTGTACCTAGTTTCCTACAAGTGCCAGTACTAAGAAAATTATAGGCATTATCTTATTTGTTCTACCCAACAGTCTTGTGTGAAGTTAAGTGCTATTATTATCCCAAATTTTTAGATGCAGTACCTGTGGCTTAGAAGGAGAAAGCAACTTGTCTATGGTGACCCAGAAAAACAAAGCCAGATTTGTTTAACAGCAAAGCTATGCTCTTAAAACATGCTGTGCTTCTTCATACTTGGATTAAAGTCAGCTTAACCTCTCTGAGCCTCAGATATTTTATCTGTGAAATGAAGAGGTAGAGCTAGGTAATCTCTAATATCTTTGAAAGCAAAAATGTTCTATGAAACTTGGCTTTTCTTTTATACTAGACTTAGTCATGCTAATTTAAAGGACAGCAGTAATGTCCTGAGATTATTTTTGTAGAGGCAAATGTTCAAATTCATTCACTCTTTTAGAACAGTGTTTGCTATTTCATGGCATTGGTATTGGTAACTTGCTAAAGTCCGTCAGGAATTAGTAGTCTGGGGTGGCTGGATGGCTCAGTTGGTTACAGTGTGTGCTCTTAACAACAAGTTGCCAGTTCGATTCCCACATGGGATGGTGGGCTGCGTGCCCCACAACTAGATTGAAAACGGCAACTGGACTTGGAGCTGAGCTGCCTCCTCCACAACTAGGTTGAAAGGGACTTAACTTGGAGCTTATGGGTCCTGGAAAAACACACTGTTCCCCAATAAAGTTTTTTTTAAAAAGAATTAGTAGACTGAAAAACCAGCATTAGTGCTTCATCAAAAGCATGCTCTGGCTTATAAAGAGGCACTCGCCTTTTGAGATGGTCCAAGGGTTGTTTGTTGATTTTTTTTTTTATCCAACTGCCTAGCTTTAATTATATGTAGTTTTCTTATATTAAAAAGTTATAAAAGACAATCTCAGGACTATTTCTTGAACAAAAATAACTTTTGTATTATATGGTGTTTGGTTTTCCAGATTCCCTTCCTCACAAAGTTCTCAAAGGCCATCATCAAAGTGTTATTTCATTACTTTATCCACATGGCCTCTCTTCAAAATTAGACCAAAGTTGGCTGGTGTCTGGGGACCGGGACTCATGTGTCATCTTGTGGGATATCTTTACTGAAGAAATTTTGCATAAATTCTTTTTGGAAGCTGGTCCAGTAACAAGCCTTTTGATGTCACCAGAGAACTTCAGAGTGAGTGAAGACAAAGAATAAAGCATATCACATAAATTTGAAAGTTATATAACATTACAACTAGATGATTTTTATGCATCCCTTTCTAATGTTTTATATGAATTTTGTTATTATTACAGCTTATACAAATAATTTTGTTTTAAAGCAATGGTTTTGTCCAGCCTTTGCTTTACAAAAGTTAATTATCTTTAAGTACTTACATTTCTTTTCTTTTTTCTCCCTAGTTCTGTATCTTAATTTTTAATGGAATTTTCTTTTTTTCTCTCTTCTATATTAATAAAGTATATAAGTAATAAATACTCAATGTAAAAACAATTCAAACATATAGAAATCCACAAATTAGAAATCAACTTTTGCTTTCAACAATTTCCTTTTATAATAATACCGATAATTACATTTTCTTTTTCTTAAATAGGTTTTTGTTTGTCCTTTCATTTATTTAGCAAGTAACAACCTTTAACAAATTTATAAGCATCTACCTTGCACTGGGCAAAACAAAGTGCTTTCAGGTAGAATTTTCTCATGCAGTGTGAACTTAAATTCCATGGAGCTGATATATTTGTTAAAATATGAACAACCAACTTTTGAGTTTCCTAAATTTGTAATTTAGTTGATTGGCTTGTAAAAATTATTTCGCCATAGTAATATAAAAAAAATCACCTCTATAGTAAACTCAGAGAAAACTTATACTATATTTTTGTAGTAAGACATAATAAAAGCCATATTTCAGCAACAAGTAATTTAAAAACAGGGAAACAAGGTAAAGTGACTTAAAAATTTTTTTCATGTGGCAATTTAGATATGTCTTTTATTCCTGAGGTTTGCTCCTTTTTTTTTCTTTTTTTTTTTTTTCCTCTCAGCCCCAGGACCTAAGTCCAAGTCAGTTGCACTCCTGACCCCTTTTACTTCTGTCTCAGTCATAGATAATTTAAGCATCAGGACCCATTCAAACCAAGTCAGATAAAAAAGGGAGGACAGTGAAAGGGCATAAGAGGCAATCTTTAGATATCCATTACGAAACACTACAGCAAGGACCTAGCGCAACTTGAACTTAAATATAGAAACCAAGGTCACTCCTCGGGTCTCCCTACCTCAAAATAGTCTGCTGTTCTGCAATTGCTCCTTTCTCTTCTCCCTGTGACTTCCTTTAGCTTTACAATTCAAATGCCTAGAATAAAGATTCTGATTGGCCTAGTGTGGGTCTCTAATGTATGTCTACTTGTGGTGCGATCTGTGTTCACGTGTTGGGTGTATGTTAACATGTTGTGTGTGTTAAGTTCCCTGAAGTACATTGGGCAGATTCTCCAAGAGGCAGTAATATCGAAGAGGCAGTGCCATCTTCCCCATTCTATAAGTGCAGGCTCTCCCCATCTCTCTCACCTGCCATTCTGTGATTTCCCCACCCCCCTCAGGATTTCTGCAGTCCCTTTAAAAATAATTAGAAAACATAACATGTTCCCTGATACCCCACAAAGTGTCAATGATGGGCACTGGGAGATTCTCAGAGGATCACAACTGATGCTCTAAACACAGCAGCTGAAACTCTGGCTAGTTGACGTAGTGGAAGTAGGAGCATTATACAGCAAGGTGATTAGAAAAGAAACAGAGAAAAGAGCCACTCTCTGCTTCCCTCCTCCCCCCGCCCCATCCCACTCACCCACATTCATGGCTGACTATTGCATGGCTCTCACTGTGAGACACAGAGCTGCCCTATAAACTCCTCCCAGATTAGCCTCAGCAGCCCCATCATGGATGGTCTCTGTTCTAAACTGTGTTCAAGGTAACCAGATGCTGACTTTTTAAAAACGATCCTAAGAGTCTTTGTCCCATGAGCCTATTTTTGTTCCTTGTGTCTTTGAGGCTGTACATTCATTCGGAACTATCTAATGCTTACCTCTTTTAGGCTGTGTCTACACTGAGTTTCCTGTTTGGATTAGAATCTGTATAGTTCTGGGAACAGCACCAAATCACATTTTGAGGCTTTAAGTGGAAAATGCCAGCTCATGATACTCTTGGGCCTAAGCTTGTGTCTACAAATAGCTTCTTTTTGTGGCAACAAATTAGTTCTGGGGTTTATTTGATCCTGCGTTATTTCCGATGTCTGCCTCACAGCCTCACTTGGCTGAGTGATGGTCAAGCCCTTCATTTATCTTATAAGTAGGTCTGGGCTGGACTTCTCCTTTTTACTTGCATCTCTTGACCTTCCTGATAGGTTGTTGAGCTTAAAATCTACTCAGTGTTTAAAGCTCCCACGTAGAGTGTTATGTGGAGAGATGCTGTACAAAGCAGAAATGCCATTTTGTAAACGGGGCTTTAACAAAAATTTTATGTTACTAGGGAGAATATATGATTTAATCTTGAAGAAAGTATCTGACTATTTACTAACTGCTTATAAAGAATGCTGGTTTGTTTTTTGTTTTTGTTTTGCACAGCTAAGGAGTAATCAGGTCCTTTGCTGTGTGTGCAGTGACCATTCCGTGGCGCTCCTGCACCTTGAGGAGAAGAGGGCCCTCTTTTGTGCCCGGAAGCACCTTTTCCCTGTGAGGATGATCAAATGGCACTCGGTTGAGAACTTTTTAATTGTTGGATGTGCAGATGACTCTGTTTACATCTGGGAGATTGAAACCGGTAAATTGAAATGTCATCCCTTTTCATCCTTTATATATTTCTACATCAAAGGATTGGGCTGGGTAGAGAATTCCAGATAATATGTAGTGATGCCCTCACTTGCTTTAACCTTTGGTTGAGCTCTGTGTCAAAGGTGGGTGTGGAAAATAAAACACAACAGCCCCAGTCAGATCCTGAACCACTGATGATTAGCTGACAGGGCACTGCACAGGAACAAGCCGGATATTTCTGGAAGCTATAAATAAAAACATAAGTTATCTACGTTAATTATTAACAAGAGAGAAATTTAGTGTCCTACTAGTCTAAAATTATCATTAAATTCTGCCTTCTTCAGCATACTCATCTCAGCAACATTTTGAGTTAATTGATGATCAGTAATAATGGAATATAATTAATTACAAAACTCCAAAAATGTTGAGTCAGGGAATCTGAAAACTGAGTGGCTCAACTGAACTTTTGATATCATAGTGGATGTGTGGTTTGGGCCCGAACATTTTTAAGAAAGTTTCGCTGTGTAACTTAAGAGTATCACATTTCAGGCAAATGCTGGGAACATATCAAATAATATGAGGTAATTAATGAATGTGAGTCAGGGGAGTGCGTGGGAGAGTACATTTCACTGAAACCATTGCATGATTTTTATTGATTAATCAGTGGGGGTTTTATGTTGGGTGTTATTAACAGACTGGATAGTCTATAATATTATCGTTTAGACCATCCTTCACCAAAATAACTGCTATTTTCTTTACCTCTGGCTTCTATGTATTAATGTTGGTGGCTGATGTATTAGTGTATGGTGGTGCAGTATAACCTGCCTTACACGTGTCCCTGGCTTTATAGCTTTGACAGGCCATCATGTTCATCTTCCCATTAGATTGTCACAACTTCTAGGATAGGAAGAAAAGGTCTTATTCTCTATTTTATTGGTTGATAAGGAATTCGTAGCTCTGATTTGTAATGTACAAAATCGCACAGTAATAAGTGGTGAACCAATATGAGAGCCTCCGTTGTTCTTTGCAAGGTATACCCAAAATTGGGAGAGTCTTAGAGTTCGTAGGTAATCTATCAACCTGAGTGACAGTTAAGTATAATGGATAAAATCGGCTCTAAACCGGGGCTTGCCTCTGGGCTTGCTAAGGAAGAGCTGTATGGTGTTGGGCAAATTACTTGGTTTCTTCACGTCAATTTCCTCATCTGAAAATACTATGAGGGCATAGAATGTGCTTGTTCACTACTGTGCCTAGCATGTGAATGAATGAATGAATGAACGAACAAATGAATGAACTAACCCAAATGTTCTTGGGCCTCAGTAGATGGAGTACAAATGAGTTCATTTTAACATTGGCCAATCGTGGTGGCTCTTAGATCATGGTTACTCAATTGTACATATGTTCTTAGCTTTCTTCTCCAGTATCCCCTAGAGTTTCTGGGGTTCTCACAGCATATCTCACTCCCCTCCTCAGGTGTAAGTAAGTCTGTGTATTTTCTACTCCAGCCAATTTTTCCTGGGCTTTTGCCTTTCGGCTTTTCTGAGAGGTTCAAACTTAGTTCCACGTGTGAGCAGACCTATTCTTTGCTCCATTTCTCCAGCACTCTGCCTCCTCTAAATACATGGAGGAGGAGTAAATTGACACTAGGGCATTTATCAGATCTTTCAGCACTAGAGCAACTCCAGAGTTCATAAAGAGAAAACAGGAGGTGTCAGTGGGATAAGGATTTGGGGGATAGGGCTTAGAGAGACAAGGCAGAGGATGGGGCTTGAAGCCAAAAGTAAGGAATTCTCAGCTGTGCCGCAAGTCCGTCTTGGTGGAAGTTTGGAGGAAGGGGTGGGTATAGGTCAGTCCCTGTGCCTCCTTCCCCCAGGAATGGAGGATGGACTATAAGACTCCATCAGTTTTTCACAAACGCTTCATAACAGCCTATTCCTACTTTATTCCTAAGTCTCTTTGGTAGAATGTGCAAGTGTATTCTCGAGCCAGGTACCCCCACGCCCATTTTATCTTGAAATCGTAAGAGGTGTTGCTTTCTATGACAAAGTGGCATGGTCACATGCATACCAGGGTGAGGTTCAGAATCATAGAAGGGCATGTCATGTCATGGAAGAGGTAAAAAACCAAAAGAGAGGAGTGTTTATGTCACAGTGAGGGCCTTCATCTTCTGGCTAAAAATGCAGAGCTGCCACGTTGGGAATGATGAGGGCACCTAGCTTTGCTTATTGATTTGCCGGATGGCCCATGATGTTGAGGCCTGATTAGGAAGGGAAAAAAATTGGAGATGTCATTTTGATTAATCTTTGAGTTGCCACAGCGTGTTTGGCACTGACAACTGTGGGCAGCTTTGTCACCCTCATTGCTGTGAGACACAATAGGGATAATGTAATACTGATTTATTTTTCCCCCTAAAATACACACCAGAAAAAAATCCCAACCCAGAGCACATTGTTCTTTTTAAGAATTGAATTTAAATAATTTTGAGGACTTTTCTGTTCATGGGAATGGATTTACATAGCAAAACAAACAAACAAACAAACAAACAAACAAACAAAACTTGTATAATGAATTTCTTGTGTGTTATTAGTATAACAGTATTATTATTGAAGGTCTTCTGTTAAGCTTATGGCCTGTGTTGTGAATATGCCATATTAAGCAACTGGGTTTTTTTGTGTGTGTGGGAAAATGAAACCTTACTTGATTGAAAATCAAACACTTCTTGATAAGATAGTTCAGAAAAGTGTTTTTGTTAAGGTCTGGATAGTGGATATTTTCAGCTTTGTGGGCCATACAATTTCTGTTGCCACTGCTATAGCCCTTGGAGCACAAGAGAAGCCATAGACAATGCATACAGGGGCGGGAGAGGCTGTGTTCCAATACAATTTCATTTATAAAAGCAGCCCTAGTTTATAGAGCCCCTAAGAATGATGATAGTTCTTTTTAAAGATCATTATGTTCATAATACCTAATTCTAAAGCAGTTCACAATTTTTAAGTGAACTTGGTATGGTTCTATCCATTGTACAAGCAAGGAAATGGAACCCAGAGATTGTTTGAGTCTGAAGGTCCCCAGGCTAGGTGCTGGGCACCTACCTGCACTAGAACGGGTATCTCTTTTTCTTGTGCTGGTGTGTTCCCTGTACCATACAACAGGAACGCCTCTTGCAGATGGAGGTCAGCTTTTTGAGACTGTCAAGCAGGGAATTAGATAAGAAAAGCTCCGAGAAGAAAAGAAATGGCTGCCAGGAAACCTACTACAGGCTCTCCTGAAGGAGAGGCTCTCTGGCTATCTCTCAGAGCTTGGCTCTCAATTTACACATAGGTCTAACAGCTCTGGTCATCTGATTTCTCAGATGACAGATTGGAAACAGCAAATTGCAAGCGGGGAGACTGTTAGTGGCAGACACTCTGATAGCAGAAACGACAGCTGATGGGAAAGGAGGAGAGGCAAAACTATGTATCACTGCTCAAGGCTGTCTTGCCTGTGCTCATGGGAAGACGGTCACCACAAAAAATGCTGACACTGTTTCCCCTGTTCAGGAAGCTCTTAGATGTGCCTGCACAGGGAAAGGGCAGCTTCCAGTCCACTTCCCATCATGCCTGCTGGGGAGCTGGGCTTTCTCCTTCTCAGGTATTTATGACTTCAGGAGGTATATGTAAGTGTATTGATTATATCCACAGTGGATTCCAGCCCTAAGGAAATCTCAGAAGCAGCTTGGGGCCTGGAGTTTAAAGAGACTGAAATCTTTGGCAAAAGACTAGGTAGAACGTAGGGTGCACGCGAGGCTCTTTTCATCCATTTTCTTCCCGTTGCTGCTCAGGTAGCATGAGCTGTGTGAACATGAGCAGGAAGCAGTACTACTCCTATAGCATGGCCTGAGGGCCGAGCCTCTGCTTATGATACAGTTTCTGTGGGGAAACACGTTCTGAGTTTTAAAACAACCATCTTATAAACAGGCCATGGGAACAAAGCCTGTGCATATGAGATTGAGGAAGTCAGGAAGAAGATAATGCATTTAGGGTTATTTTCACCATGGGTGTTAAATTTTCTCTCTGAATTTATTTTTCGTAGTGAAATTAGTAGCAGTTAGCTAGAAAATTATTCAGTCTACTATGATGCTACAGAAGTGAAACATTTGTTCTTCCGTGGTTTCAAAGTACACAGTCTTAAAAAGAAAATGTAAATAAAACCATTAAAGATAAGATGAGACTTGTCAACTAATAGATAGTAGGCCGTATTTCCTAAAAAGTGCCCAATATTTTTACTGTAGATCTGAGTTTGCTTTAATTGCTTAGGGTGAGGGACATAGATATATGCAGGGTACAGTTTCTCAGAAATATGCAGTCACGTTTTCCCCAGTAGAATAGAGTCATGTGGTTAAATTCTTACTTTGCCACACCAAAATAATCACACAAGGTCACGACACGGGCAAGTAATTTTCCAGTCCCCAAGTTTTACTCTGTTGCCTTCTTTTATATGGCATACAGTATATAAAATATAATTTAAAAAATTCCGCTAATTTCCAACTATTCCTTTCTGAGGGACAGTTTTGCTTGGTGTTCTCATCAAGGTTACTACT